TTCGATCCCCATTTGGGTCGATGGATTCGCACTGCTGATAAAACCCAACCAGGTCGAAACAGCTTTTTAGTGCTCCCTAGCTTTTCAGTTCCCGCTTCGTTTGCTATATACACGACGAAATCACCTTTGAAAACTGACATAATCATAAGGAAAAGCTATAAGGCGGTCATCGTGATTGCTAGATATTACTTATTCATGTATACTTTGAATAAAGCGGTACGGTTGGAACAGTCGGTATGATATTGGCGTACAATGAATATTGCTCAATAAAGTTGCTTGTCTGATTTGGTACTTCATCAAACAGATAGATTCAGATACGCCCCGAGATAAAAGTTTCAATTCTCTCCCGCTCATCGTTACCATTCACATAGGTTTTCATAGATCTCTCTCTACTACTCCCTGAAGTACAGTTACTATTTTAATCCAACAAAAGACCCCTGGTGCTTAATTTTTATCAATCAGATTTTAGTTGCAGGAACATAAACGATCTGAAATGTGCAACAGTAACTTGACAAGGTATCGAAACGTCCCACTCCCAGGGGGATCAATATGATTAAAGTAAGTTAGTACAGTGAACAGCTGCTTCTGAACCTTGACACGCCTTGCGGATATGTACGATCCCCCAACCCCTTATTAATAGACTGTCACGCCCGTTTCAGGGGGCCTCAAATTCGACCAGAATCATCGATCTTATTTCCCGTCCGGTCCGTCTTGACCGAATTTCCTTTCATCACTACAGTAGACGCATTTTCATTTAATCGTTTGACTGCTCCCATACACAAAATAATAATATAGTAGAACAATTCACTGAGCAAAATATTGTTTACGGTGATTCTTTTTTCCACTGTATAATGTTTAATAACATGATTAACGGGAACTGAAAGCGGTTTTCCGCCTACTGACTGGTTTTCTGAAGGCATTTACACTTATCTGTCCACGTAACCAGAGTCTAATAGAAACGGGCTCTTATTTGACGGGTTTTGAGCGCCGTTGTTCTCTTTATTATTTTCTTAGCTACTGTCACGTTACTTTCTCCCGTGTTTAACTTGAAACATTTAATCCACGGAGAGATTTCATTTCTGAATCAGGACTTACGGAATTGGAGGCCAATCATTGAAACCTACCAGCGTCTTGCTCGACGATCCAATAGCATTCTTCGTTCTTTCTTTCTTTCTGTTATAATCACCTAATGCATCGCCATACATGAGGTGTTGATCGGTTGATCCATTTTGGCCATTGCACTCCAGAGGATGCAGATCTTTAGTTTGTTCTCAACACCTAAAGATCTCTTCTAACGGGGCGCAGCAGCGATTTGTTTAGTTTCACCTATTTGGAGCTGGATTCTGAATCTCGAGGTCATCAAAAACATGTGATCAAAGTATGGTTAAGATTTAAACATTTGAACTTTTCTAAGGCTTGCTTTCGATCTCAAGAAATGACTCTAAAACAAGCCTACTCACATGTTCAGGGTCAAATGCTGAAAGAATGTTTCAGATGGGGGTCCGGAATCTCAAAAAAGATATGTTGAAATGGTGTGTCAAGGTTCTGGGGCGGAAAGGCTTTTACAGGGCCTACTGACTTGCATCGTTCAAATCCATTCCCAGGGGAAAGGGGATGCAACACATCTGACGCGGTACTGTTGCATATTTTCAATCATTTTTTCTACTTAGAACAAGGAGATAGAAGTTCATTATTTGGTATTTTTATGGATTGCCTAGGTAATAAACTCAGTGGTTACGGTTCTTTACAGAGGAGTAGGGGACTAAGTAGACCTATGGGGGAATGTGTTTCGAGGGGGGNAGGGGGGGGGGGGATAGAAAATGCTTAATCCTGGGTTTAGTTTGGTATGATAAGTTTCAAACAATCACGGACTGGTGTGCAAATAAATCGTAATCTTTTCAGAAACCAGTGCACAATGGCTCGCAATTTATACGGGATAAACAACTCGAGTCCCCCACACCAACTGCGCACCCCAGCAATAGCCGAAGCGATCGGGATAAGAAAGTTGACCCCTGATCTCTGCACCC